TTCCAAACTAACAATTCTTCCCTTCCTCCGATGACCGTAAAAACGTGGCCAGCGCTGTTATTGAACCTTCGAAACGTGTACATTAGAGTGATGCAAAATTTGAAATTTTCGCTCCACAATACTTAAACGATTCCAAATCGGATCCTGACTAACCTCTCAAAATTTGAACCCTAGCTACAACTTTGCTGAAGACCCCTTTTTGATTAAATGCAAGGATCGGAATTTATCAATGGTTCAATGCGCTGATGTCTTATGATCATGCTCAATTAACTGCTCAGCAGGCAACATTGGTGTTTCTGGGGCGTTGAATAGGACACAAAAATCATGACTACTATGTCACACTGCAAAATACAGTGTTGCCTACAGAGCAGCTGCTTAATCATGTCATAAGTTTACTAATCTCTTAAATAATTAATAACTTTTTCCGCAAAGTTGTACCTGAGAAAATTTTCTATAAGAATGGCTATAGAACTGTTTCGCAGCGCTTGGAAAAAGACTAGAAGGCAATGAACAAAAAGATGAGATTTCCCATAGTAATTTACATGTAAACTTCAAATGGCTTGTGCGAAGTCTGTTTCTAACCAAATGAGTTGTAACTTTGGGAGGCTAATCAGGACCTGATTTGAAACCATTTAAGCACTGTGGAGCGAAAAAGTCAAATTTTGCATCAGTCTGGTGTACATAGAGAATGGTTAGCTCACCCCAGGCCCATTCGTTTGGATCTACGTGCAATTTTGCTGGATCTTAGCAATCATGGAGCAGCAACCAGGGTTGCTTCCACTCACTTGCTATAAAAAATGATTTCCTGAATTTTGAAATCATTAGATGTTATAATGATATTTTGTACTTGTTAGATAGAAGAAGAGGTTGAAGGGCAAGTGTTTGACACATAAAATCTGTCAATTTCGCTATCAGAGTGTTACAATCAGCGATCTTATGATTCGTGAGCGTTCACTCAGAGTGAGCACTCGCGAGTCGTAAAACCGTTTATTGTGACTATCTGAAAGCAAATTTGACAGCTTTTATGTGTCAAACACTAGTCTTTCAACCTCTTCTTGTATCTAACAAGTACAAAATATCATTAAAACATCTAATGATTTCAAAATTCAGAAAAACATGTTTTTATAGCAAGTGAGTGGAACCAAGCCTGCCAGAACTACTGAAATGTACGGTCATCCAAGCTCAAGCTCAAAAAATCGATCGACAAAGGTCAAATTGATGGATTTGTAACTAGAGGGTTCCAATAGTTTTCAAAAGTGCGCAATTTTTGCATATTCTTGATTCATGTAAATAATTACATCTTTGAAAATTCTCAAGAAACTCCCTTATGTTTACGTACCATAGTAAATGGCAAATTTACGGCTTCTGTATGGTATGTTCAAAAATGTTGGCGGCCATACTGAATTTGGCCGTCATATTGGATATATTCATAAAATGTGTTTTCCATCAGCTTACCTCACACCGATTTAGAAAATAAGGTATCTCAAGAAAAATCCTAATACGTAATGTCTGGTCACGTCTAAGTCACGGTAGTAAATCCGTTGGTCCCGGCCAATGGGTGTTGATGAATGGGTGCGATATCCTACGCAGGTGTGGACGCTGCCTTCCTGCACATTCGATTGCCGTCAATGGATGGCAATCGATGTGGGGGCGACCCCGGCGTAGTGGTTAACATCCATACCTCTCACGCCAAAGTCACGAGTTCAAATCTCACCTCCGGACAAGTCACGAATGACCCAAGAGTGTTAAAGTGACTCTAATAAAAAAAAGGAAAGAAGAAGATTCTGTTCCTTCGACCTCCTTTTGTCGCTTCTAAAGAAAATTTGAAGAAATGTGTTACACTGTAATATGTTAGGCCCAAATGAATGCTGATGTGCCAAGCACTCAGGATATCGGATAATTTAGCTGATACTAATGAATAAAAAATCAGCGAACTTATAAAATATATATTACCTGAAAAGCCCGTTAACCTTTTAGCGGGAGCGTCAAAAAAAGTCACGTAAGCAGTACTGAGTGCATCGCGAATAATTCTAATTTTAGGTATTGAACTATACCACATAGAAAGATGCAGTCTACAGCATAGTTGTTCAGTCGGACAATGTTCATGTGGCAGTGACTAGTTTGGTTCAGAATTACTTCACTAGGTGGCTCTAAAGTGCAAATAAACTTCTTAAATTTATATCTCAGGATTGAAATCAGATAGAAGTTTCCTGTTTTGAGCAAGGTTGTTCAAGTGGACGAAACCCGTTTAGTAGTACCTAGTATGGAACTGACTCACTACACACTTAGATTATTTCACCGAAATCTGTGAAATTTTACCGAAATCTCAACAGCTGAACGTTCAGTTAACAGTTCGGTGATTTTTCACATATTTTCTGTATTTTTTCACCGAATATCTGTGAAAAATTACAGGAAATCTGTGAAAAATCACCGAACTGTTTAACGAACGTTCAGCTGTTGAAATTTCGGTAAATTTCACAGATTTCGGTAAAATAATCCAAGTGTGTAGGTAGCGACCGAGTGCAAATAAACTCACTAGGCGGCGCCCGAGTGCAAATAAACTTCTTCTATAGATATCTCAGAATGGATACCAGATAGAAGCTTCGTGTCTTCAGCAAAGTTATTTAATTGGAAGAAACTCATTCAGTAATGATTAGTTTAGCTGGGAATTGATTCACTCCGTGGCGCCAGAGTGTACACTCACTTCTTCTATTGATATATCAAAATCAAGACCAGATAGAACTTTCATGTTTTCAACCAAGCTGCTCAATTGGACAAGACCCGTTCAGTAGTGATTGTTTGGTTGTAAATTAACTCACTAGATAGCGCCAGAGTGCAAATAAACTTCTTTCAGTGATAAATCAAGATCGATACCAGGTAGAAGATTCATGTTTTCAGCCAATTTGTTCAGTTGTACGAGACCCGTATAGTAGCACCAGACGCCACCTGGTGGGTCAAATCCCAACTATAGTATAGTTGGGAATTGACTCCCTAGGTGGCTTTTGAGTGCAAATAAACTCACTAGGTGGCACCAATGTATAGATAGACTTCTTCTATCGATATCTCAGGATTGAGAAAAAATAGAACCTTTATGTCTTGAGCAAAGTTGTTCAAATAGACAATACATGTTCAATAGTATTCGCAAAATATTAAACCTGTATTTTTTATTTTGTAATTACGGTGACCATTTTCATGTCGATTTAAAAAAAAGGACTTTTGGAAAATTCATAACTTTTGAACCTCTAAGTCAAAATTTCAAATGAAAGGTAATTAATTATTTTTAAAAATATAATTATATGAAAAAAAAATGGGATTTTGCATTGAACAATTTTGATCGTATTTGTTTTTTTATGGTTTGCAGGTTTGTATGGTTTATGGTAGGACAGAGGCTGCAATAGGATTTTTTCATAATCAGCGATGTGTTTTTTTTTGCTTTTGAGCTTTATTTTTTTAAGTTATCAACCTTTGGGTTTTTGCTCACTACTCCCATGCGACTGGACAGTCTTGTTATTCCTTATATATTTTTTTTACAGTTGTTATCGCATAACTAATTTAGCTACCAACCTCGACTAATTAGGTTATCAGTTATTATCGTGAGCAACATTGCAAGTTTTATTGAGGTTTTTAAGTACTCTACAAGTCTAAGTCATGGTCTACAGAACCCTTATTAAACCCAAATTGTTAAAAACTTTGTAGAACATTGAAAAAATTAAAAAAATTCAAATTAAAAAGTTATGGTAAAAAAAAGATTTTTAAGGGGGTACTAGCGTTAGTACTACATTTTCACCCTATAACTTCGTCCACTTGAGAGATAGGAAATTGACGTCTTGGACAAAGTTTCTTAAAATGACTTCAGCTATAATGTTTTCAACGATGTTCATCAATTTCAACAAGACATCAAAACGTTTTTTTTTTATCTTAATGTATACCCCCCTGAATCCAAAATGTTCACTTCTCAATTAAAGTTCTCAAAAAACGAAGAAACATTCTAAAAGACATCAAAATTCTGCACTCAATAGTTTCGTCGCAAATGGCCATGTCCCACTATTTTTTAATTTCGTTACACTGTGCGGCAGTGTGAAAATTATATAGAAGTTGAAAATGAGCGAAAGGCCATCAATGCCACAGTACAGTACAGTACATCGGTAGACAATTAATTCCAGATGAATTTCTAGGAGTGTTCTAAGTATAATTTTAAATAGTTTTAAGGGATTCTATAACATTCCCCAGAAAACCAATCCCCAGAGTGCGCCATCCTCCAGAAATGCATTCCCCAGATTGTACCATTCCCCAGAATGTACCATTCCCCAGAATGTACCATTCCCCAGAAAAGATGATGAAATTAGTAATTTTCACTTTTCTTTTTTTTTTACTATTGAGTGACTATAATAAACAAAAATAGTCAATCTAATACATGGCATACTTTTATGGGAAATGGTTTTCTGGGGAATGTTATAGAATAGTTCTAAGGAGAATTGCATGAAGACTATGAAGAATATTCAAGGTCCAATTTGAATGAGCATGCTTTCCTAATACTTTCGAAGAAAATTTTCAAGGGGGTTCTGATGGGTGATTCAAAGGAAATTACCAGAAGAACTCAAAAGGTTATTGAATTCTAATGATAGTTTTAAAATAATTCTGGGTCAAATTCCAAAGAAATTCTGAGGAGATAATTATGAGTGTTTTTAAGGGCTAGTTCCAAGGTAATTTCGAGAAGAAAACCAATCAAATAGAATTTTTTGAGTATAATTGCGATGGAATCCTGGAAAGAGACTCAAGGGAATTCCAAGGATAGTTTCAAGAAGCATTTTTTTTGAGAATTCTGAAGAGAATTGATCCTTGATCAATTAGAACAGAATTGCAATTTTTGTCTGGGGTGAATTGCTATATGAAATTTCACTGGCCACCCTGCCCAACGGTGATAATATCGTCAAATACAAATTATGTCATTTCGATAATCCTGATCTACTATGACGGAAAAATCCTCATCCTATACTTACTTTTCCCCAAAAATCCAGTTCCTCCGGTGATGAAAACACTGGTCCGCTCGTAAAACTGCTGAATCTCGGTCAATTTCTGCTCGACTTGTGCCGGACTGGTGGCGACGGTTGCATCCAGTGCCGGTTGCTGCTGTTTGGACGCTGCCGCCGCTGCACCATCCTGATACGATGCCACGGTCATTGCGCGTTTGTTTTTGTTTTTTGTTTCTTCTGCACCGTCTGCACCTTTTTAACCTGTTTTCCCCCACTCTCGATCTTTCACCCTCCGCTGACCAAATAGGAGAGCAGGTGAGTGTGTGTAATTTCGGTATTACACTAGTTAGCAGCACAGCGCCGCCCAACCCGTCGAGAGATTTCGACGATGGGTCAACCAAAAGCGCCTGCCCACTTACGTGTATGGGGGCACACTTTTGGTAACTAACGAACGGACCGTTACGCGGTTTCGAGAAATTTCCTTCACTTCGTGTGTCGTGTTGCACTGGTTACACTTTCAACTCTTTCTTCACTTAATCACTCGAGTATTGGGAGAGGTTATAATTGCAGCGGTTTTCTTCGGCTTGGCATTTCTCACAAAAACTACAGTAATCACGACGATTCCGACACTAGTTTGGTTTTTCCCCTACGAGAGGGCCGGTACAACGAGACGGTGTCCGTGGGGTAGTGCGAGCTGGGGGCGTTGAAGTGCTACTGTTGCTGCTGCCACCACTGCGGCGTCGTCGTCGTCGTCGTTGTCGTCGTCGTCGCCGTGCCGTTGGCGCTGTAGAAGAAGAAAATTAAATTTGTTACAATAGGTAGCTAGAGCTGGCAATTAATGTGGCTTATGATTTAATACATTTGGTTGGCTCATTGAAGTCGGTGCTCGGGTTTCAGTTGTTCGCGGGACAAGTGTGTTGATTCTGGTTGTAAATACTAGACGGGTGAATTTGGGATGATAATGATATGAACTCTGATCTTCTTGATGTGTTAAAATTTGTCTCCTCATGTTTTTGAATTCTTGGACAAGTTGTATGAAATCAAAAATTTTGATTCCGCAAAGAATGAATCAGTTTACTTGGAAAATCTTCTTAGTTTATAAACATAGCCAACGTATTGTCATTTATTACAAATCTTGTAAATCTTTTATACAATGTAGTAAGAGATTCCTACCATATCCGGTTGGGTGTTCAATCTTCTAATGGAGTTGTGAAATTGTAATGAATAAAATGCAATACGAAACCAAAACCAGTCAACAGGTTGTCTAAAATCAGCTGATCTGAACAAACAAAATCTTCTACAAAAGCAGGTACGCATACTAATATACCTGCTTCATTCACCAGTTGTAGGTAGAATTTCGACCCACAGCCAAATAATTCCAGGGGGTACTGAATTTGAAATCATTTGCCGGCTTTTGGCGTCTGAAAGTGACACTTCTAGCTGCGAACGGCTCTTGGTTTGTACATAGCTCATAGTACGACCACTTTCGTCAACATCATCAGCAGGGTTGAGCAGCTGGATTGTTGTCATTGCTAGTTAGCATGTGGCAGCGAGTGGCGAGGATGATAGTGGTGGTGGTGTGCAGTAGATGTTTGCAATTTTTACATAACCGATACATTTCTGCACTGTTTGGCCTGGGCGCGTTCGGATGAGAGCCGAGAGGTCGGCTCCGAGGTCCGATTACTCAAGCGTGATGCATGTGTGTGACTGACTACCTGATGACGGCTGCTGTCAGTCAGGCGCACTTACTACTATTCTTCAACACAACAACTCTAGTACTGGTTGATGGTGAAACACATGTGACTCGCAGTAAGATGATGGAAAATAAAGCTCTGAATATAAAAATATGTGATTCACTAGAACACTATTCGATTCAACACAACTTCGACAGTAAATAACATCAGTTTTCTCGAATCAAGTATCATACTTTTAACGGTTCAGTTCGTTCGCCCCGGATGCCCTTGGCGATCACCGTCAATTACGGAAAAGTTTGCGGAATTGATGACGCAAAAGGACCTGAACATTTCAACGTCATAAAAAAAATATGAAGTTGGCACTAATTTATTTTACCATCAAGAAAACCTGAACTGCGATATAAAATGATATAAATCGAAATGAATTTAATAAGTAAAATCTTCCGTTCAGACAATTATTTATAGCCAGTCGGTGTGGCGAACTAAAGCAGAACTTTTCCACACTTCCATCTCCTGTGCGTTTTTTTTTGTTTTTTTTTTTAGCAGTGTGTGCTATTTCGATTTATTGCAAGTCATGTCACCCCTTCCTGGACGGTCCCAAAATTTGCGAACAACAAGAACTTCTCTCTCTTCGCTTGAGTGGTTAACCTTCGGAACACGAGTATTTGAGTGCAGCGCACTTGTTGCTATCGATTTTAGATTCGATCAGGGATGTTTGTAATGATTCCATCCGGATAGATAAGCTATCAGGCACTCGATTGCTAGGCCTTGTTGGGTGTGCAATATCCTAGTGTTTTATTGTTCATATTTTTTTTAAAATGGTGGTTGTTAAGCAACGTTTTATACAGAGTGTAACATCGATGCGTTGACCTGCTAAGGTTTTTTTTTCATAACGCCTTATAGGGTTAAGATCTAATTTCCATCATTATAAGTACAACCCGCCCTTTACCTATCATTTACGAACGGATTTGAACAAAAAATTGAATGTTTCGATTAGACTGTGGCATGCGGATGAACATATCCATATTGACGTATCATTGATTAATTAACGTCGAGGTCATTGATAAATTGCATGTTTCTGCTCGATGTGATGAAAAAGGACACTTAAAAGCCTTATAGGGTAGGGCACCGATGACAATGGCCATCTTGAGTTTTCAAATCCGACCATATAGGGGAAATGGTTCTTAAGCAAGGTTGCAAAGACTCATTTCAGCTAAAACAATGTTTTTCTAAATTATGAAATAATTAGATGCCATGATCAAATTTTGAATTGGTAGGATACAAGAAGAGGTTGCAAAGAATGTGTTTGACATATTAAACCTGTTTATTTCACTTCATGAGAGTCACAATCAGCGATTTTTCACAAACTCACTCACTCACTCACTCACTCACTCAGCGATCAGCAAATCGCTGATTGTGACTCAAAGAAAGCAAAATTTACAGGTTTTATGTTTCCAACGCATACTTTGTAACCTCTTCTTGTAAGTTACAAATAAAACATGCCATCATACCATCTATTGGTTTTATTATTCCGAAAAACATTATTTTAGCTGAAATGAGTCTTTGCAACCTTGTTCTTAAGTTGGCCTATGGATCTAAGATTGGGCCCATCGCTAAAAATCTGCTATTTATCTATTTTATCTAGATGAACGCGTCATTGGGACGGTACTAATGGATATTTTTGGTTGCTATTGAAAATTTAGTCGATTGCTGAATTAATGTATGGGCCCAAATTAGGGACATGTAGGCCGACATTACAGAAATGGATGTATAATTAAATTTATTAAATTTATTATATTGAAATAAGACCCTTTGCCAAAATTTGTGCTAAACCAGAAAAAAATCCACGAAGTTTGAGTTTTTTTTTTTAAACCGAAAAATCAACGATGCTTGAATTTTTTTTTGCCATAAATCGACCTTCTGGGACGTTAGTGGGAGGCAGGATAGGGAACATTGACCAATTGGCTTCTAAAACTATTCACAACTATCTCCAAATTACTTGTATACCATTTAAACCATCACCAGCATCTAATACGTGATGTTTCACTAGGGTGGTTCACTTATTTTTCATTAGGGTGTTCCCTTTTTAATATTTAAATCTTAAAAATACGTGCAAAAATCATACGTTTCCACTGAATTCATCTAAAAATACTCAAAAAAATTAAATATCTACTCGCCATAAGAGTAAAATTGCTTCGTTTTGTGCATCCAGCACTAGGAAACGTTTTAAAATGCTGTCGTATGGTGGTTGATTTATATTTAATTGTGTAATTCATTGAAATACATTCTTCGTAAAAGCAAAAATCTTAGAAAAAAATCGTTTTATTGATTAAATGGCAGCCCATATTTTGAACCAATAGAAGCAATAAAATGCACCCTTAAAAATCAAAAGATGATTTAATGATTAAATACTCCTTAATAATATGAAATGCACAAATAAAAAAACATGAAATGTGTCAATAACTAAGAGGAAATGTTCCATAAAAATCGCTTGTTTAACCCTTATGTGATCGACAGGGTACCCGGGTATCTTTTCTTTCAGATTTCAAGTTAATAAATTATGAAGTTATTTTCACGACAGGAAACCAGAATTGATCATTTTGTCAAGCTTCTGCATTCATGTTCCATCAGATGTCCCATCTGGTGTTTGCGGTGACATCTGTCGGAAACTAGGCACAATCTGTTTTCCTATAATTGTTCACAGAGGACACTGCAGTGCAAAACATGTCTGGTACCTCTATATATGCATTTAGATTATTATTCGAAGTCCCTCCTTTTTTACACATTCTGCACACAAAATAGCTCACCCCTCACAGAATTTCCCGCCGAATTTTATGTATGGGGCGGAGCATAAAGTATCTTTTGCGCAGAATATGTACAAAAGGAGGGACTTCAAATGTTAAAGCAAATGCATATATAGAGGTACCAGATATGTTTTGTAGTGTCAGGTACTCTATTTTGTAATCTGTGAAAGGGAAATCACAAATCGAGTGTCAGCAAAATACATGGCATGTGAATTTCTCTCTCAAATTTGAATTTTTTGGCTCTCTGGGGACTGGTAGTAAAGCAGGTAAAATTGTATGAGGAAAAATCATTTTTATTTAATTGTAGCTTGTTGAGCATTAATTTCCGGGAAAAAACTGAACGACAAAGCCCCTGACTAATTTCTTTAGGTTGTCGTTCACTTTTTTTGACCTGAATATGCACCGGAGGCAAATTATTCGCACTTCTCTCAATTTCTATATGGGGATTTTTATCTCTTCCTACCAGCGGAACAGCGCCATCTCTGTGGAAAATGGTCGAACAAAATGATTAATTCAGTGACATCTTAGAACTCATGGAGTGACAACTTTTCGTGAAGAAAGATTTCATATTGCAGCAAGGGGCTTCGAAAGGGGGGATCGTGAAAAATTTTTACCCTTAAAAAGCTCGACAAGGGTACCCGGGTACCAACAAAATTGAACTGCTTGTTACTGCTGCCAATTTTAACCGATTCTGAATCTTTTGGGATCAATGGATTCAGAAACTTATCTTCTTTCTGGACATTGCCAACAATGTCCATCCGGAATAGTCTGGTTCCCGGAAATCCGGATTTTCTGTATAATGTTCCAGAACCAAGCATTTTCTTGGCACTTTCGCTAGAATTTTGAATGAATCGATATCAAAGTTGAGGCATTCCACGAAGGTTCGCAAATCGATCCTGACCGATCATTTCCAATTACG